CCTGGGCCATATGGGACTGGCGCCCCCTGGGGGAAAGGCCCCATGCCACGCCCTGGGCCGTATGGGACCGGCGCCCCCTGGGGAAAGGCCCTGTGCCCCGCCCTGGGCCGTATGGGAGCCAGCGCCCCCTGGGCCATATGGGACTGGCGCCCCCTGGGGGAAAGGCCCCGTGACCGGGTCAGTGAGAGACTCACCTTTCTCTTGACGAATTTATCCCAGTAGTTGCTCGGGAAGGACCTGGTGGGGGGGTGAGAGCCAGCGTCAGGGGGGGCTCTGGGAGGGGGCAGTGCTCCTCGGGGTCGGGTTCTGCTCCCCCTGCAGGCCTGGGGGTGGGTGGGGTGCAGGGGTAGGCGAGAGGGCCATCGCAAAGGGCCCAGTGGGGAGACGCTGGGGGGGGGGGATGGACACCGGCAAGCGTCTCCGCCCTCCCCCCAGAGCGGCAGAGTGCAGCTGGGACGGATGGGGGGGTTCGGGGGCCGGGCACTGACGCAGGCAAGGGTCTTCTCCAGTGCCAGGAGATCCAGATCCCAGACCCAGAGACCCCCCCCCCCACGGCCCAGCCCCCCACGCACGGGGTGTTCAGCACCAGCCGGTCCCACTGGCCCTTGATGTCGTCGTCCTCGGGCTGGTCGGTGATGTAGAGCCCGTCAAACTCCAGCTTTCGGGCCAGCTCCTTCTCCCGCTTGAAAATCACCAGCGGGACCTGCCGGGAGAGGGGGGTCAGGGCGTCGCGGGGGGGTCCCGGCATCGCGGGGGGGGGGTCCCGGCCCAACGGGGGTCAGGGAATCGCGGGGGGCTCCCAGCTGAAGGCGGGGCTTCTGGCTGAGGGGGAGATGGGGTGTGGGGGGGGTCCTGGCTGAGGAGGGGACACGCTGGCCCCTCAGCCTCCCAGCCCAACAGCCCCTCCGTCTGGGGGCGAAGGGGACTTGGCTCTATAATGGGGGGGCGTGGCCAAGGGATACGCCCATAGCCTGTGGTGGGCGTGGCCCCATGGTGGGTGGGCGTGGCCACATGGTGGGTGGGCGTGGCCCCGTGGTGGGTGGGCGTGGCCCCGGGGCTCACCTTGAGGCAATTGTAGCCAATGATGCAGAGGAAGGCGACCAGCGTGTGGGTGATGGACAGGAACTGCAGCGTGGGCTGCATGTAGCCCGTGCTCTCCTCCAGGAAGAAATAGACCACGCTGTCCTCCTCCTCGTCCTCCCCGGCCCCGTCGCCGCTGGCCCCGAAGCCCGAGCCCCCCGCCAGCTCCTCCAGCAAGCCGGAGTCCTCCAGCTCCTCCTCGCCCGGTGGGGAGTCCGACACCTGCGCGGCAGGGACAGCGTGGGGGCAGGGCCGAGGGGAGCCACCCCCCTCCAACCCCCACCACGAACCCCCCCAGACCCAAGTGAGAACCCAGGCGTCCTGGCTCCCAGCCCCCCCGCTCTAACCACTCCCCTCCCAGAGCCGGGGGTGGAACCCAGGAGTCCTGGCTCTGCCCCCCCACTCTATCCACTAGACCCCGCTCCCCTCCCCGAGCCGGGCGAGGGCCCAGGCGCCGGACCTTGTAGAAGAGGAGGATGAAGTTGATGGCGAAGGCCAGGAAGAGAGCCAGGAAGCGCAGGTTGTAGAAGTTCCGGGACAGGTAGTTCTGGAAGGACAGAGCGGGTCAGCGACCGGGTGGCTGGGCGGCGGGGGGCCCTCCCCGCCCCCTCCCTGCCCCACGGCCCGACTCCCCCCTCCCCACAGTACCAGGAACTTGACCCTTTGGATCTCCAGCTCGGCCCAGAACTCCAAGCTGCCGCTGGCCGGCTCCTCCTTGCGCTCCCGCGGGGTGGCCGACTTCCTCCGGTGCTTCCTCGGGGCCTCGGCCGCCGGCTCCTGGGGGGCCTCCGGCTCCTCCGGCCCCGCCTTCTCCCCGTTCTCCGTGCTGCGGGGGGGGGGCAGTGGTGGGTGGGCGGGCAAGGCGGGGTATGCACCCCCCCACACCCTCACGTATCCAACCCCTCCCCCTATGCCAAGCCCCTTCGCTTGCCCAAAACTGCCCCCCAGGGGGCGTAGCAGCCCCCTCCACGGGTGGGGCAGGCTTCCCCGCCGTTCCCCTCATGGCCTAAGCTTCCCCCCCCAAGAGCTCTGAGGAGAACCGCCCTCCACAGGGCCCATCACGCCCCCAAGGGGTCCTGCCCCCCCCAGGCCCCATCACCCCCGCCCAGGGGACCCACTCCCTGCAGCTCCCCCCAGCCCCACTCACTCGGCCTTCTCGGCCTCTGCAGGTGGCTCTTCGATCTTCTCCGGCTCCGGCTGGGCCTCCTCCTCCTCCCCTTCCAGCTGCGGAGCGACACAAGAGACCCAGCGTCAGGGGGAGAGGGGGCCCTGGGACGTGGGAAGCAGCCCCTGGGCTGAGACAGGAGACCCGATACCAGGCCTGAGCGCTGGCCTAGCTGGGCTGGGAACCTGTCTGTAATGCCACACAACAGGATCGAACCCAGGAGTCCTGGCTCCCAGCCCCCCTGCTCTAACCACTAGACACCCCCCCTGCCCCCGGAGCCGGGGATCGAACCCAGGAGTCCTGGCTCCCAGCTCCTGCCCACTCTAACCACTCGACTCGACCCCACCCCCCTTCCAGAGCTGGGGATCCAACCCAGGAGTCCTGGCTACCAGCCCGCCCACTGTAACCACTGGACACGCCTCCTGCCCCCAGAGCCGGGGAGAGAACCCAGGAGTCCTGACTGCTGTCAAAAGGCCAGCCCCACCCCAACCCCCAACGTACCCCCAGCTTCCTCTTAAGGATGGGAGTCCCCTCGGGGGTGGGCGGTTCCACCGCCGTGGTGTCCCCCATATCCCCCAGCCCCCCGGGGGCATCGGGGGCGGTCGCTCGGTAATGCCCGGCGTCCTTCTTCATCTCCAGACTGAAGACGTCCCCCGCCTCGTCAGGGGCCTCCTCCTTGCCAGCCTCCACGAACTGGGCCGCCTCCCCGCCCTCGGCCGCCTCCTGCCCGTCCTCGGCCGGCCCCAGGTCCCCGTGGACCTCGTCCTGCGTGGGGTCGGGCATGCTGGCCAGCAGCTCGGTCACCGTGAGCTTCTTGGCGCTTTCCACCAGCCCGCCGCCAAAGAGCACGTTCCAGAGGAGGAGCAAAAGGCCCTTGAGGACGCCGGAGAAGAAGAGCAGCGTGCCCAGGAAGACGGCGTAGACGCAGGAGCTCACGCCCACCGCCAGCTCCTTGACCGTCATCTTCTTCAGCCGGCGGAGTTGGCGGCGCACGTTGCGGTAGGTGAACATGTGGAAGAAGTCCAGCACCCCAGCCAGGAACTCCCCGAAAGCTGAGGTCGCCTCCGGAGGAGCCCCGGCCGCCTTCTCCGCCTCGGTCCCCTCCCCGCCTTCGCCCTCTTCCTCCTCCTCCTCTTCCTTCCCCGCTTCCTCCTCCGAGATCTGCGACGCGATCTGCATCTCGAAGATGGTGTCCTCGCAGAAGTTGACGAAGAGCTCCATCTTCTCCGACTCGCCGCCCTCGTTGACCACGTCGAAGATGAACTGCCGCTTGGACTCCTTGACCTGGGGCATCTCCCACTGGGCCTTGTTGGTCTCGCTGATCTCGAAGTAGATGCGTTCGATGCGCTTGCTGGCCCCCATGATCTCAATGCGGCCCAGGTAGGGCCGGAAGTAGTTGAGGATGCTGTCCGCCAGCTCCAGGAAGGTCTTGAGCCGGCTGTCGTGGGGCACGTGCTCCGAGAGGTTGGTGAGCAGCACGGCCACGTTGAAGCCGATGTCCTTGGCCGGCTCTTGGAAGCGGTTGGCGAACTCCTCGTAGTTAATCATCTCGTTCTCGTCCGCCTCGGAGCAGGAGAGCAGGAACTGGATCTCGGAGGGCGTGTATTGCTTCTGGCTGTCCATGGCCTTCTGGAAGTCCTTCTTGGAGATAAGCCCCCGCGGGTCGGTGATGTAGTCCAGGAAGGCGTCCGACGCCACAATGTCCTTCAGCTTCAGGAACATGTCGAAGAACTTGAGGATCATCTCCACGTTGCTGGACGACTCCACCAGCATGTCCACCATCTGCCGCGCAATGGTGCCATTCACCACGTTCCCTGGGCCGGGGCAGGAGGAGAGAGGGTTAGACAGATGGACGGACAGACAGAGGGACAGGCAGGGGGGAGGCGGGAGGGACGGACGGACAGCCAGCCAGAAGGGCATGCGTGCCGATGGCCAGACAGCAGGGTGTGCACGGGGACGGCTAGACAAAGGGGTTTGCAGGCAGACGGACGGACAGATGGGGGTAACTGGGGGGGGGGGAGGATGGAGAGAGAGGAGGGACCAGGACAAGTGACAGGGGTTGCGGTGCCCTGAACCGCGCCCACATGTGCCAGGCTGGAATTCCCCACCCGGAGGGGCCAGCGAGAGGAGCTGCCACCTGCCCGGCCATGGTGGGGGAAACAACTCACACGGGGGGGTCTCGAGTCCCCGCCCAGTGCCCCTCACCCTCCAGCAGGGACAGCAGCATCACCACCATGTCCTTCTGCAGATCCAGCAACTCCTTCAGCAGCCCGATCTGGCTGGAGTCCTGAGGAGACACGGGGAGCGACGTGAGACGGGCGAGATTCCCGCTGTGCCAGCACGGCTCCCCCGCACATACGCACGCTCCTGCCCTCGCACGGCTCCCCCGCACATATGCACGTCGCTGCCCCTGCACGCCCCCCTCTGCACATACGCACGCTCCTGCCCTCGCACGGCTCCCCCGCACATACGCACGTCGCTGCCCTCGCACAGCTCCCCCGCACATACGCACGCTCCTGCCCTCGCACGGCTCCCCCGCACATACGCACGCTCCTGCCCTCGCACGGCTCCCCGGCACATATGCACGTCGCTGCCCTCGCACGGCTCCCCCGCACATACACACGCTCCTGCCCTCGCACGGCTCCCCCGCACATACGCACGTCACTGCCCCTGCACGCCCCCTCTGCACATACGCACGCTCCTGCCCTCGCACAGCTCCCCCGCACATACGCACGCTCCTGCCCTCGCACGGCTCCCCCGCACATATGCACGTCGCTGCCCTCGCACGGCTCACCCGCACATACGCACGCTCCTGCCCTCGCACACACACCCTGCACATATGCATGCCCCTGCCCTCGCATGACCTCCCTGCACATGCCCCTGCCCTCGCATGGCTCCCCCCTGCACATATGCACGCTCCTGCCCTCACAAGCCCCCCCACATATATGCACACCCCTGCCCTTGCACGGCCTCCCTGCACATAGCACACCCCTGCCCTCACCCGGCGTCTCTGGCTGGAAGCTGCAAGCTGCGCTCCGGACTCAGCAGGATCTGGGTTCCCAGCCCCCCCGTGCTATGGGATATGCCCCGAACTCAGACCCCAGCCTGGGCACCGTGAGCCTCGCCCGGGGTCTGTGCCCACAACCCCCCGGGCACGCCTGGCAGGGCTGCCCAGCCTCACGCTCCCCAGGCCCGAGCGCCGAGTCGCCGAACCCCCGGCTGCTACGACGCGCCTGGGCGGGCCGGGCCGGCCCCAGCTGAAGCCGCCTTGCCCCGTGCCAGCTGGGGCTGTGACCCGATGCTTGGTCTGGACAACACCGCACATTGGGGGGGACCCCCTTCGACCCCATCCCTGGGCAGGGTCGCCGCTTCCCCAGGGCCTGGCATTGCAGACAGAGACGCCCCATCAGCTCCCCGCTAGCCTCCCCCCAGAGTCCTCCCCTGCGGGGTGAGCCCCGGTGCAGGGAGAGCCCCGGTCTGGGGCTGCACGGGGATCACGTGGGGGAGGGGGAGCCGCACCCCTCCCCCTCTTACCTCGGGGTACTGCCTGCTCCGGAAATGGTCCTCACGGGCAGCGCAACAAAGAGAGAGTTTGGGTGCAGAAAAACACCCCCAAATGTGTCCCCAGCCTCCCCACAGCTTGTTCTAGGGTGGAGAGCCAAGACAGGGCGCAGAGATCCACCCCCCCAAGCAAAAACTACAGCACAGTTCCAGGCAGGGGAAACCCCCAGGGTGGAACATGTGCACAAGCCCTCGTGCATGTGATTGCATGCATGTCCCCCTCGTGCGTGTGCACGTATGGGCGTGCGAGAGCTCATGTGTGCGTGCAAGCTCTCAGGGGTGTGATCGCGTGGGCATGCGATCTTGTGCGGCGCGTCCTTGCGTGTGAACAAGATCTTGCACACGTGCTCTTGTGCATGTGATCTGAGGCGTGCGCACAAGATCTTGTGTGTAGGTGCAGGTGTGAGCCCAGGTGTGCGTGTGCATGAGAGCTCATGGGCCTGCGCCATGCGTGGCCATGTAGAATCACGTTCCACGTTGGCGAGCACGGGCCGGCGTGCACACGTGCGTGCCATCGCACGCACAGGCCTGGTGAGGCGCATACGGCCGCTCAGAGGGGGTGGCGTTCCCATCCCCCCACCAGCCACACACTCAAGGAGTCAAAGTCCTTTTCCTGGTGCACTTGGGAGGGGGAAGGGGGGGGGGCAGAACCAGCCGTCGTCCCCCATCAGCACCTGCTAGAGACCAGAACCCGGAACCTCCCCCAGCGCTCAGAGCAAACAGAAGCACCAGCCAAGCACGGCGCCAGCCTGCTCGCCCAGCTCCCCTGAGATACCGGGGGTGGGGTGGGGGAGATGGAGGACGAGGGGGAGATTGTTACATGGGGGGCGGAAGACGTGCCAGATGTGGGGATCCAGGCCAGACCAACCCCCTGCACTTTCCTGGGAGGCACCCGGGCACCCCCCCGTGATGAGGTGGAAATGTTCTTGCGGTTTCCCCGGGGTGCTATGTGGGTGCCTCAGTTTCCCCTATGCTATTTCTCAAGTGTCTGGGGGGGGGGTGATTGTTGCGAAGCCCTGGGGGGCCAGTGTGATGGTGTCTTCACAGAGAATGGCCCACGCCCCGTCTCCTGGCAACTGATGGCCTGCGCGTCTCCCCTGCAAAGGTGATAGCTAAAGGTGTTGAAGAACAAAGAGCTCAGGTGACCTCCTGGCCCGGGGTGGGGGAGAGGAGGGGCTGGAGAGTTTTCAGTTTGGAGCTGGCTGGGAAAATGGAGGGGAGCCCAGACGGGGCTCTGGCCTCCCTGGCCCCCCAAGCTGGACCTGACTGGGGGGGTCCTGTTGTCTGGACCTGCACGACCTGTCTTGGACTGTGTTCCTGTCGTCTAAATAAACCTTCTGCTTTACTGGCTGGCTGAGAGTCGCGGTGAATCGCGGGAAGCCAGGGGTGCAGGGCCCTGTCTCCCCCAACTCTGTGAAGGGCTCTATCTGCCCCCCTTGCTCTCCTAGAGGGATTACAGTACACCCCCCCCCCCCCGTGGCCTCGCCCTTGCCCCACCAGGGAACGCCCATGAGCTACGCCCCGCCCCCTCAGCTGCAGGGGTGTGACCAGGGGACACCCTCCCCCCCATTCAGCCACCCGCCCTAGATCAGGGACTCGGGGTGGGATAACCCACGGGGTTCAGACCCCTCTGCCCGCACTGGGTGGGGGAGGGGCCACCTGGGACTCGGGTGGGGCCCGAGAAAATCCCATGGAATCGCAGACCCCAGCTCCCCCTGGCGCTGGGACCCCCAGGACAGAGCTACCTGCAGGCACGCTTAACTGCTCCGGATCGGGGCCCCCGGATTTGTTGTGCCGCACAGAGCTGGGGAGGGAGAGGCTGATGTCGGGGTGCCCCCTGCTCTCTCACCCCCCCCACACACACACAGAGTAACTATTCAGCGACATCCGTGTGGCTGTATTCTCGAGTGCTCCTGTAGCATGTGGCCTGGACCGGGTCCCGGTTACCGTGCGCTGCGGCGCGGCAGGGGGGCGCGTTTCAATTGTAGGATTTCGGTTTTGTGAAATCTGGCTTTCCCATTGCCCTCCAATTCTGACCATTTTTACGCCTTTCTAGTAAGGCTACTTAACTGTTGTCAATGGATCCAGCTATTCTGATTAAAAACCCCATAAAAACGGAATTAATTTTTTACAAAAATGGAAAAAAACGAAATCAGAAAATAATAAATCCCCCAATCCCCACTAATCCGCTGGATTTCCTAGGGCCCTAGCTACGGGGGCTCGGGCCTGGGGAGCGGGGGGGAGCTTGCAGGTGTGGCGGGTATCAAGCTGGGGGTCTGCCTGTGGCACTGCTGGTGCTGTTAGTTTGGTCTGGCCTGGGTGGGAGTGGGAGGAAGGGAGGAAGGAAGGGAAAACAAGGACGGACGGGGCCAGGGAAAAGGCCGGAGGACCAGACTGGACACAGAGCGGGAGCCAGAGGAGAGGCGGGGAGCAGACAGGGTGGGCGGCGGAGCGGGGTGAGCGCGGGCGTGAGATGGCGCGTGCCACACATAGGTTCTTACGCCATTTCGGAGTCCGGCCGGCTGGCTCATCTGTCACACATCAGAATAAAAATGTTATTCAGCAACATTTTTAAGAGCATTTTTGTATGTCCGGCCCCTTCCTTTATTGCCTGGGCTGGCAGGGCGCTGCTCCACAACCCCCGAGCTGGGCCTGCCAGAACGGGCAGCAACAGGGGCTGGGGTTTCCAGACCTAACGGAGTCTACAGCGCAGCAGGGAAAGGACTGAGCTAAGGACACGTCTACAAGCAGGAGTCCTGGCTCCCGGCCCCCTGCTCTAACCACCAGCCCCACTCCCCTCCCAGAGCCAGGGATAGAACCCAGGAGTCCTGGCTCCCGGACCCCTCGCTCTAACCACCAGCCCCACTCCCCTTCCAGAGCCAAAGATAGAACCCAGGAGTCCTGGCTCCTGGCCCCCTGCTCTAACCACTGGAATGTATCACTCAAAATTATATGTGACTCTATTTTCCATGAGGGGTAGAGAGTCTGGTCTCATGAACGTGAGGACAAGCCGGATGGAAGGAAGGATGGAGAGCTGGGCGGGAAGATGGATGAAGGGTGAAGGGAAGGCTGGGTGGGTGGTGTGACCAAGTGAGGATTGTCCCTTGTTATGTTGTATGTGAGTCTATGTGAGTCTGACTGTTTTGCATAAATGCTGTGTGTGCCTCAGTTTCCCCGTGTATTGCACCACTGTCTAGGTGGTGGGAATAGGGGTGTGTGAGCTTTGTGGGGGTTGCTGCAGCTGCCTGCACGGATGCTGTGGCCGCCCCTTCGGAACCTGAGACCCAGGAGGGGGATACGACCAGGGGACTCTTGGCCCGGGAAGTGAGACAAAGGCCGGAGGAGGAGCAACAGGCCGGGCAGGGGTCGGGCAGCTGGAAGGAGTCAGTCTGGCTGGCCTGGGGCTCAGAGGGAGGGCAGAGACCTGGCTCTGGGCTCCTCTCCCCGTAAGATGGACTTGCCTGAAAGTCACTGGTTTCTGTGATAGCAAGTTCTGCCCTACGCGGTGGTCCTGTCAACTAATAAACCTGTTTTACCGGCTGGCTGAGAGTCACATCTGACTGCAGAGTTGGGGTGCAGGGCCCTCTGGCTTCCCCCGGAGTCCCGCATGGGCGGACTCGCTGCGGAAAGTGCACGGATTTGGAAGGGGATGCTAAATGCTCCGAGGTCAGACCCAGGAAGGTCGAAGCTGTGTTAGCGTCATGCCCTGGAGACGGTATGCTCAGAGAGAGGAGGCTCCCCCAGAGTCCGGACTGGCTTCATACGGAGTAGTTCCAGAGCATTGACCCAGTGACTCCATGACAGGTGAATAAGGGCTGGGTGGGTGATGGATGGATGGGGGTATAAGAGGATGGATGGATGGAAGAAGGGCTGGGTTGATGGAGAGATGGATGGATGAGGGTGTAGGAGGATTGATGGGGGTATAAGAGGACGGATGGATGGAAGAAGGGATGGATGAATGGATGGATGGATGAGGGTGTAGGAGGATTGATGGGGGTATAAGAGGACGGATGGATGGATGAAGGGATGGATGGATGGATGAGGGTGTAGGAGGATTGATGGGGGTATAAGAGGATGGATGGATGGAAGAAGGGCTGGGTCGATGGAGAGATGGATGGATGGGGTGTAGGAGGATGGATGGATGGATGAGGGTGTAGGAGGAGTTGATGGGGGTATAAGAGGATGGATGGATGGATGGATGGGGGGAGTAAGAGGATGGATGGATGGAAGAAGGGCTGGGTTGATGGAGAGATGGATGGATGGGGAGTAGGAGGATGGATGGATGGATGGATGAGGGTGTAGGAGGATTGATGGGGGTATAAGAGGACGGATGGCTGGATGAAGGGATGGATGGATGGATGAGGGTGTAGGAGGATTGATGGGGGTATAAGAGGATGGATGGATGGATGGATGGATGGATGGATGGATGGATGGATGGATGGATGGATGGAAGAAGGGCTGGGTCGATGGAGAGATGGATGGATGGGATGTAGGAGGATGGATGGATGGATGAGGGTGTAGGAGGATTGATGGGGGTATCAGAGGATGGATGAATGGATGGATGAAGGGCTGGGTGGACGGACAGACGGGTGGACGGACAGACGGGCGGACAAGAGTCCTGCTTGCTCACCGCCCCCATCCCTGAATCCTTCCCCCACTTCCCCGCATTCGTTGTCACACTTTGCCTGCAGCAGCGCTGGGCCTGGGCCCTCCCTTGGCCATCTGCAGAGTGGGCATCTGGGGGGCCAGGTCCCCGTCCCCACGGCTTGATTCTGCCCTGGCGGCTCCCCACCAGGGCTGCATGGGTGGGGCCCTACCTCTGCCCTGCTGCCCGGCCCGGAGGGGGAGTAGGGGTGCCAGCCCTGGGAGCCCTGCTCTGCCGGGCGTCGTGGGGCGCTGAGCGGGGTGCGGCTCATAAAGGAAGGCGAGACGGGGAAATACAAAAACGGGTCGGTCAGAGAACACCCAAAGCTGCTGCCACGGATCGGGGGAGGGGAGGACAGGCAGGTCACAGAGCGATCTGGGTTAGTGCGGCCATTAAAGGGGTCAAAGACACTCCCCCGAACTCCCCCCAACACGGCAACACGAGACCTACTGTGGGGGGGGAGGGGTTAAGATTGGGGGGCACTTCAGGTGAACTCCAAATCCTTCTCTCTGGTCTCCATTCCCGCATTCCCGCCCCCGCACCAGCCGGATGGGAACAAGCGGGGGGGCCCCAGCTCAGAACCAGCGATCAGGGGAGGGAAGCCTTGGATGAGAACAGGCGGGGGGGGCCCCAGCCCCGGATCGGGACCCATGTGGGCGGCCCAGCCCCAGCGGACATGCCCACTAGACACGAATGCTCGCGGGAGCTGCCCTAAGCGGCGGAAATTGACCTGGACCAGCTGGCTACCGAACGGGTCAGGGTGGCTACCGACGTCTCAGAGACTGGCGATGGCGCGTCGGCGGCTGACCACTGAACGCTTGCCCCTAGCTCCCGAGCCCTGAAGAGCCGAGCGACCCCTTGCGGGGGAGACAGACGCCCCCACCCAGGCTGCGACCCCCCCCCCCGCACTGGCAGCTGTGGTTACCTGAGCCAGTTTCATCATCATGTGGGCAAAGACGTGGAGGAAGCCGACCACGGCGTCCCAGAGCCTGCTGTGCGCCAGGCTCTGCTGGTTCCCCGTGCACGGGCCCTGTGGGAGAGAGACGGCGTTAGCAGCAGCAGAACCCAAACCTGCACTAACCGCCCACGGGGACCCTCGCCCGGCCCGGAGACGCAGCCACCTCTGGGGTGGGGCGCGGGGCTGGTTATACAGGAACCCCTCACCCAGGGCGGAGACGCAGCCACCTCTGGGGTGGGGCGCGGGGCTGGTTATACAGGAACCCCTCACCCAGGGCGGAGACGCAGCCACCTCTGGGGTGGGGCGCGGGGCTGGTTATACAGGAACCCCTCACCCAGGGCGGAGACGCAGCCACCTCTGGGGTGGGGCGTGGGGCTGGTTATACAGGGATCCTCTCAGCTCCCAGGGTCACAGCCGCATCTATTTCCTTCCTTGCTGGTGCAGAGAATGGGAGCGGGCAGGGTGCAGATGCAGCTGTACCTGGCTGTACCGGGCAGCGCCGGGGGACAGTGCCGGGGGACAGTGCCCGGGCCGTACCTGGCTGTACTGGGGGCGGTGCCGGGGGACAGTGCCCGGGCCGTACCTGGCTGTACTGGGGGCGGTGCCGGGGGACAGTGCCCGGGCCGTACCTGGCTCTACCGGGGGCAGTGCCGGGGGACTGTGCCCGGGCCGTACCTGGCTGTACTGGGGGCAGCACCAGGGAGCAGTGCCCGGGCCGTACCTGGCTGTGCCGGGGACAGTGCCGGGGGAAGTACCAGGGGGCAGTGCCCGGGCCGTACCTGGCTGTACTGGGGGCAGCACCAGGGAGCAGTGCCCAGGCCGTACCTGGCTGTACTGGGGGCGGTGCCAGGGGACAGTGCCCGGGCCGTACCTGGCTGTGCCAGGGACAGTGCCGGGGGCAGTATCAGGGGGCAGTGCCCGGGCCGTACCTGGCTGTACCGGGGGCGGTGCCGGGGGACAGTGCCCGGGCCGTACCTGGCTGTACCGGGGGCGGTGCCGGGGGACAGTGCCCGGGCTGTACCTGGCTGTGCCGGGGGAAGTACCAGGGGGCAGTGCCCGGGCCGTACCTGGATGTACTGGGGACAGTGCCGGGGGCAGTACCAGGGGGCAGTGCCCAGGCCATACCTGGATGTACCAGGGGCAGTGCCGGGGGCAGTACCAGGGGGCAGTGCCCGGGCCATACCTGGATGTACTGGGGACAGTGCCGGGGGCAGTACCAGGGGGCAGTGGCCAGGCTGTACCTGGATGTACCAGGGGCAGTGCCGGTGGCAGTACCAGGGGGCAGTGCCCGGGCCGTACCTGGATGTACTCTGTCAGGCTGTTGAAGACCTGCTTGGCCACGGCCATGGCCTTGGAGAAGTTGCGCTTGCCCTGCTCGTCGATGATGTCCTTGCCCGAGTAGTACCAGTAGAAATCGCTGATGGACTCCTGGGGAGGGCAGGGGGGTTAGTGCTGACCCCCCCCCCATTGGCTGCAGGGCCGGCAGGTACAGTCCCACCCCCCAAGCAGTCTGTGCCACAGGCTGGCTAGGGGGAAGGCTGCAGGGGACGGCTGCCTGGCAGGGAGGGGTCTCTGGGAGCCGGTACCCACAGGGGGGTCTCCGGGGGGCGGTGCCCACTGGCAGGGGGCAGCCGGTGGGGCAGGGGCGCTGACCTGCAGTCGCAGCAGATAGTCCACGGTGCAGATGATGATGTTAACGGTGGTCGTGTTCCCCGTCTGCGTTCGCAGATAGTTCTGGAAATCTGCAGGGGGAGGGGGAGACGCCGGGTCAGGCCCCCTCAGCGACCCGCTGCCAAGCGCTGCCCAGACACCGCGGCATGAGGGGCGCCGGGACGGGCAGGAGGGGCTGTGCCGGGGGGCGCGCGGGCAGTGGCTGGGGGCTTTGCTCCCCACCCACAATGTCTTGGTCACGCGTTGTCTTGGACTCTGCCTCTGACCACCCGCAGCGCCCTCCCCCCACCCACCCGCCCTCTGCCCCCCAGGCACCCATCGACCCAGGTACCCACCCACAATCCACCCCCCATCCACATACCCACTGCAGGGCCCCCTCCGCCTGCCTCTTCATCCATCCCCGGCTTCCCATCCCCCATCTACCTGCCCTACCTGTCCATGCGCCCACCCGGGAGCCCACCCCGGGCACTCCCAGCACCCACCCTCCTGCCCCACTGCCCACAGAGTATCCAGCCAGCCAGCTGCACCCCCCCACTCCCTTCACGCCCCTCCATTGCCCTCCCCCTCGGTCTCTGGGCTCCGTGCGGCCCCCAAGCCGAGCCAGCCGGCCGTACCGTTGTTGTGGCCCTCACACAGGAGCTGCAGGAACCGGAAGAGATCCTGCGTGAACTCGTCGTCCGCCATCACCTTCTCTCCTAGAGCGGGGCAAGGGGAGGGGGAGAGACAGAACTGGCCAACGTTAGCAGCCGCGACCGGGCTAGGGGGCCTGGGTGCAGCGCCACCCGGGTTAGCGCGTGCAGGGGGCATGGGGAGAGGGGCCAGTGGCGGCCAGGCAGCCCACACTCTGGGACACAGCACACGGGGGCACCACCCAGAAGGCATTGCTCAGGGCTCAACGCTCTGAGGTCATAAGAGGGAGTAACCACCACCCTGAGTAAGGACGGAGTAAACCCCGAGTAAGAAGTGAGTAACCCCCCACCCTGAATAAGGAGCGAGTAATCTCCACCCTGAGTAAGGATGGAGTAAACCCTGAGTAGGGAGGGAGTAACCCCCGCCCCAAGTAAGGAGGGAGTAACCCCTGAGTAAGGAGTGAGTATCTCCCACCATGAGTAAGTAGGGAGTAACCCCCGAGTAAGGAGCTCAGGATTGGCCCATTGGTTCCCATGGGAGTTGAGCCCGAGCAAGGCCTGCAGGATTCAGCTCAGGTTAGTGGGTTCAGGCAGCATGCATCTCATTAGGGACCCGCAGGGCTCCTCTGAGTTGTCGCCAGTGGCGGATGAGGCGGGCGGGATATTGTTTCTTTTTACCAGCTGGAGAACAATATCGTTACCCCCGACATCCTGGTGCCAGCAGAGCTGGTCCCGGCAGGGTCCCTGCCTGGCCGGTGCAGCGGGCAGTTGGGTGGGGGGGATAAAGAGAATTCAGAGGGAGGAGGGGAGGGTATTGGGGGAAAGGGACCATTATTAACGCTACTGGCTGGTTTAGTGGGGAGCCCTGTGGCATTCATTTAAAAAATTCTGTCGGGGCCAAATCCTGACATCTGAACTCAGGCAAAGAAGCAGGTGGGAGTTTTGCAAGAGTAAAGTCTGAGTAATGTAGGCACAAAGTCAGGATAACGAGGAGTAAAGTCAGAGTAAAGTCAGGGTAACTAGGAGTAAAGTCAGAGTAACTAGCAGTAAAATCAGAGTAAAGTCAGAGTAACTAGAGTAACTAGGAGTAAAATCAGGGTACTGCTGGAATAAGGCAGGAGCAGTCCAGTAATGTAGGAGTAATGCCTGAGTAATGTAGGAATAAACACAGGAATATCGTAAGAGTCGAGACAGAGTAACACAGGATTAATACTGGGGCGTTGTCTGAGTAACATCTGTCACATCTGGCCCCAGCTAATTAACAAGATTAGTGGCAAAGGGCAGAGGGTCAGTCACACCAGCCATACTGCCGCACTGGGCGTTAATCCCATTGGGGGCAGGGGCTGTGTGCCTGGACCCCGGACCGATTCATATTGCCCCACGCAGCGTTAATGACCAGCCTTTTCCCACCGTTCATGAAGTCACTTCCTCCCCTTCGCAGCTGGGATTCTCCCCACTGCTGACTCCCCCTTCCTCTCCCTTGATCACTGGGGAATCACGGCGCTGGGGGGCAGGGAGCAGGGCAGGGGGCAGGAATAGGTCGCCAAAGGTCGTCTCACCCAGGTCTAGGTAGCTAGGGAGATTTGCCCCCAATTGTGTCTGCTGCTGCGCTGTTTAGAGAGATGCGTGTGTGTGTGTGTGACAGTTACAATCCCCAAACCACCACTTACTGAAGTTACTACACAGATACTATCACAATATTAGAACAGAGATACTGCAAAGATGCTACTACATTGTTACTACACAGCTACTGCAAAGATGCTACTACATTGTTACTACACGGATACTTGCATATGGTTACCACACAGATACTACCACAATATTAGAATAGAGACACTGCAAGAGAACTACATTTTTTACCACACAGATACTGCAAAGATGCTACTACATTGTGACTACACAGATACTAACATACTGTTACCACACAGATACTACCACAATATTAGAACAGACACACTGCAAAAAAACTACATTGTTACTACCCAGATACTACCACACGGTGACCACACAGATACTACAAAGCCACAACCCCCCTGTTAACAGAAAGATACTACAAAGTTACTATTACAATATTAGTACAGAGATGCAGCAAGGATTGTTACTATATTGTTACTACACAGATGCTCTGAAGATACTACTACAAAAGATACTATGAAAATACTTTTACATTGTTACTCCAAGGACATCACACTGATACTCCAAACAGACTACAAAAGCACCATATAGCTATTACAAAACTACCATGAAGGTTCTATGAAGATACTACTGCATTGTTACTACAGGACACCACATTGTTACTACAAAGATACTACAGAGACGCCATATAATTTCTAGAAAGACACCACAATATAGTGACCATTCGATCTCATTGACACACCAAATACGCCACAGCTTTACTAGAAAGCGACCACAAAGTTTCTATGAGGATACATCACTACTATGGTGCTGCTACAAGGAACGGTTACTCGCCTTCTTGTAACTGTTGTTCTTCGAGATGTGTTGTTCATGTCCATTGCAATCAGGTGTGCGCACGCTGCGTGCACACCAGCCGGAAGATTTTCCCCCTAGCAGCGTCCGTAGGGTCAGCATGGGCGCCCCCTGGAATCAAGCCTTTGTGGCGCCCAATATGGGACCCTGCTGACCCACCACCCCCTCAGTTCCTTCTTGCCGGCTACCCCGACAGAGGAGTTGGAGGGTGGGTATTGGACTGGATATGAACAACACATCTCGAAGAACAACAGTTACGAGAAGCTGAGTAACCGTTTTTTCTTCTTCGAGTGCTTGTTCCTGTCCATTCCAATCGGGTGACTCACAAGCCCAAGTTTAGATGTCCTCTGATTGGAGCACCGCTCTACCAAAGGCCGCCTCGTCTTGGGCCTGCTGGGTGATCGCATAGTGCGTGGTGAAAGTGGGGTGGAGGGCGCAGTGATCGAAGGAGCAGGTTGTAGCACTCACGTATGCACGACATGATCCACGACGAAATCCGCTGAGAGGAGACAGGAAGACCTTTCATTCTGTCCGCCACAGCCAGGAATAGTTGAATGGACTTTCGGAACGGCTTTGTTCTCTCGATGTAGACGTCCAACAAGTGACGTCTCTGCTCCCTGCCGCTCGAGTGCGGCTTAGGATAGAACACCGGGAGGCAGATGTCCTGGTTGATGTGAAAACGGGAGAGGACTTTCGGGAGAAAAGCCGGGTGAGGCCTGAGCGGCACCGTGTCCTTACGGGTTCAGCCGCGGAGCTTGCACGCCGTGAGGTGCAACGACTCAAGCTTCGGGTGCCGGAGACGGCCGGGAAGAACGGCCTCACCGATGCCGGCCCGTGGGCGGAGCCGTGGTGGCGCCGAGGGTCTCTGACTGAGTCCTTCCTCGGCACCGGTTCACGCAGCGACAGCACCGGCGTGCTGCGCACCAAGGACGCGGCGCTCAGGGCTGAGTCAGGCACGGCGGGCTCCAACGGGGACTGAAAAGCCACCTCCATAAGTAATGCCCGGAGGCACTGCTGTCCTTAAGGGTCCTTGGGCAAAACCCTTTACAGATCTTGCCGCGGTCTCGGAGATGCCCTTTGCCCAGACACTTAAGGCACTAGGAGTGCGGGTCGCATCTTGGCAGAAACCCGGGGACCGAGGCATACGCCAGTGCCGGGGGAAGACGTCGGGGGAAGACCCCGCAAAGGAAACTTCTAAGAAATCTACACTAACTATAACTACTGGAAAAAGAACAGGAGTACTTGTGGCACCTTAGAGACTAACAAATTAGAGCATAAGCCTTCGTGGGCTACAGCCCACTTCTTCGGATGCATATAACTACTGGGCTAACGCTGTACACTAGGATAGACACTGCAAAGCAGGCGGTAAGAAGGAACTGAGCGGGCGGCGGGTCGGCAGGGTCCCATATTGGGTGCCCTGAAGGCGCGACTCCCGGGAGCGCCCAGGCCGACCCTATGGACTCTGCTAGGGGGGAAATCTTCTGGCTGTCGCGCACACCTGATTGCATTGGACATGAACAAGCACCCGAAGAAGAAAGACACCAGTGTTACTACAGAGACGGCACATTGCTCCTCTCCAGTTCAGAGGCTACAAAGACGCCACATTGGTAACACAAAGACGCCCCGTTGTGCCTACCCAGGGATACAGTCTGCTGTCGAGCTGGCTGGAATCTGGTCAACAAGAGGGTCGCTCAGCCCTGCCCACGCCCGTAGCCCCAAGAGACCGGAGAGGGCTGGGGGAGGAGGAGGGGTCCGTGACGGGGTATCAGACGGGGCGGGCGAGTCCCTGAGGAGAACAGGGAACGTGGCTCATGGCGAGGGCACCGGAGCGCCCTGGTTCCAGCGCGGGGTGCGGGGGCAAGGGGTGCGGTTAGTACTCAGTGCAGATCGGGAGAGGCCACGCCCGGCAGACACTGGTTCCAGGCTGCCGGGGGCACGCTGGGGGCGGGCCCTGAGCTGCAGGACATGCCACGTGGAGCCACGGAAACACTCTCCCCCTCCCCCGCAAGGCTGATCAGAACCCCCAAGCCTGACGCACCCCAGGGACGGGGAGACGGCACGGGACAGCGGTCACCGCAGCTCCCCGGCTGGGTTTGCCCACCATAACAAACCAGCCTCCCCGTGGAGACCCTACCATAACAAACCAGCAACCCTGGCTGGGTCTGCCCACCATAAACAATGCAGCCTCCCCCAACCCCTCCAGGGAGACCCTACCATAACAAACCAGCATGTGCAACAGAGTGAATAACCTTGATCGTTAAAAAAAATAAAAATGAAAGGGTATTTTAAAATTTAAATCAGATTTTTAAAAAATTTAAATTAAATAGAGGTTTATTTTTTAACAATAAACCTATTTAAAATTAAATTGGAAACTGATAATCAACATCACAACCTAAATTTATAAACCGTTAAAACATTTTAACCCAACTACAGAAACGAAGATTCAGCCCGTCCATATTTGCTGCCAAATTTCCCAGCAAGTCGCAGCATTGAAGTGGTGCAAGTCCCCGGATGAGCCCCGGGAGCCGGAGTTTGCCGATGGGCTAAGCCGGCTTCAGGCAGGGCAGAGAGAATATTTTAGCCTTTTCAGTTTATCCAACTAGTTCAATTAATTGGCCAGGCCACCCAAAGTTCAGTGACCGACTGGGAGCCTGTTTCCTTCCCCAGTCTCAGAGAGGACGAGATCTACTAGTTCTACAATCCTGAAAGCCATAGTAACCAGAAATGGCCACTACATTTCACTAGCCACAGACACTTCCTTTGCTGAATAGATCAGCTAGTTTTCACTGCAAAACGCCGCCCGATAAACTTTTTAATTTTTAATGTTTCCAGCCCGTTTGCTTTCATTCAAACGCTGGTTTTGCGCAATTGTCACTGAGTTGAACATTTCCATCCAAACGGGGCTTGACGCAAATCACCTGTAGAAACAGAGCCGTCGTCCAGCAAACGAGAGAGGCACCGTTCGCCCTTCTCTGAAAAAATCACAACCGTAGAATGGCAGACTCTGACTCCGGGCAAGTTAAGCCGCACGAATCGTCAACCAACACCTGTAACTGGGGTGTATTGTCCTAACTGGCAGAAGAAGTCCTGAATGCCGTGAAAGGCTGATGGGAATCGAGCCCTTGGCAGGGAAATAACTAAAAAGTACAAGTGTAAAACCTGATTCACACCACTGATCAAAATTGGCGTTTCCTGCTGCTCTCTCAGACTGAGAGCAACACAGGCTTGGCAAGGGGCAACCCTACCATAACAAGCCGACGTACACAACCCAGCAGCGCACAGGCCCCTGCAATGATAACAAGTGAGCGTGTGCGGCCAAGTAACCCCGAGCGTACGTGCGGTAACACAGCAGCCTCGCACCCACGTGCAACACAACAACCCGTGAGCACCGCTCCGTGCTTGAGAGACCCTAGAATAACAAACCGGCATGCTTAGCTCGTGCTTCCTCCACCAGCCCAGCAACCCTATGATACCAAACCAACGAGGCCGGAATCAGCTCCCTCCAATAAACACATCAGCACAGGCAGGCTGGCGCTCACTAGCAACCCTACGATAACAAAGACGGAGCTGCCCCTCCCCCGCGATGGATGGGCAGGGCCCATGTGGGGGGGCAGGGGGTTCTGATCAGCCATTGGCGTCGGGACAAGCCCGCCGGGTTAGAAAACAGAGCAAGAAAATGCCCGGAAAAATAAACCACCACAGCTGTGGGTTATTTACCAGTTTCCCGACGGATGACTGGGGGCGCCGGTGAGAGGGGGATGGGGGGAGCGGGGGGAAGAGGAAGAGAAGGGGAGGAGAGAGGAGGTGAGCGCAACACGTCACAGCACAAAGGAAAAGGAGATGATTAAAACCAGATTAACGCCATTAATGTGGAGTCGGAGCCGCCCCAGGTGGGACGGGGGGGGAGGGGCGTTATTACAATCCGGATTAATAGCAGCGCCTCACTCTGGGGGGGAGCCTGCAACCACACGGCAGCTGTGAACACAAACCGAGGGCAGGGAGGGGCCGCGGTGGAAGGAGGGGGAGGGGGCCCTGGTGCCCCATCAGCTCTAGCCGCAGGGTTCCCCCAGCGGAGACGGGAGGCCAGGCTAGATGGGCCCAGCCCCGTGAGAGCGGCTGATCCAGCCCTTCCCAGCAGCCATTGCAGGATCAGCTCCCCCCTGGGGGCAGGGCGGCCCCGACTCATCTCACTGTGCCCCCCATAACCTGCCCTAGACGTCCCCCTTTGCTGGGCGGTGCCCCCAGAGCCTGCCCTCCCAGCCCCCGCCGCTCGCCCCGAGAGGGGATCGAACCTGGGACCTGCGGATCCAAACTCCCCTGCTCAGAGTCAGGCCTGTTAGCTTAGAGGCTCCAGCAGCCACCGGCCGCTAGGCGCCTCATTAGCGTGAGTGACCCCGCCCCAGGGGCTGCTGGGATTGGGGCCTGACACTACCCCACCACCCCCAGCACCCCTGGACAATAGGTTGCGGGGTGGGGCAGAGATCTGCACGGTCTGGGG